AGTGGTCAACCAACCTCACCAAGAGGCATGGCTCTTTACGGATTTGAAATGTCCAAGATAAGGATCTTAGGGGGATATGGATAGAGAGGAAGAGGTCCTGGGAATGAATGGTGCTTGGGAGGAAATCCCACCACTGTATCTTTAAGGGGCTTAGGGGAAGAACCTTGCAAAGACAAAGGGGCAAAGCTCCCCTCCTCACCCAACCAATCTGGAATTAGCTGGGAGATAGGGAGTAGCATATATGCTGCCTTTACTACCTCATAATAAGGCAGACACCAGCAGTAGAAGATGGGCCTGCTGACCCCCTGAGCCTGAGGGCTAATTAGGGGGAAAGTGCCAGCTGAGAGAGGAACTGGCTAAGGCCCTCCAGAGCACTAAATTACAACCCAGATCCAGGAGAGCTGGGAATTTCTTGTTTAAAGAGAGGGATAATAAGTGACTGAATTTCCCAGCTCCAGGAAGAGGGCTGGGGCTCCTGCTGTAAGGAGAGAGACAAAGACTGAACGGTAACTGAGGGGGTTAGGAACAGAGTTCAGAGGGTGGGCTTCAGAGGAAACCCTGAAAGCCAGAAGAACCTTTTGTTTATTTGGGACTTTTGTTATGGACTATTTTCACAAGGTTTTATAATAAACCAGCCCAGGGAGGGTATTACTGAGTCAAGAGACCTTGAGGTTGACTGACTGGGTTGTTGAGAGGGAAAACAGGGCATACCTGAAATGCCACCCTTTGCCTCAGGGGGCACTGCAGGGAAGTCATGTCCTGGGACACTGCTGTCAAGTTGGCATGACTCCAGTGGGTTCCCTTCTGGTAAGGGACATACCTTGGTAGTAAACATAGTTATCCACATAAACTAAATAGCAAAAAGACAAGATATTCTCAAGAACATTTGACATTGTTGAACTGTACAAGATGCCCTGGGGACAAAAGTAATTAAAATTGTCATAAGTGCAAGTGGAGTTGGGGGGAAATTTTTTGTTCCTTTTGTGAAATAAAATTTGAAAATAGAACATAAGGTATGAAAGTCTTTTTTTCATGTATGTGTGCAAATTACATAATACCAAATATATTTTTATACATAATAAAACCTACAACACTGTCCCCCTTTTTTTTTTTTTTTTTGGTCTCTATGTCTGTATACAATAAATGATCAGAAAGTAGGAGTTACTTCAAAGCTAATACCTCAGTCCTGGTCTTAGTTTGTTACTCCCCATATATTGTTTCATTTTCTAGATATGTCTGGCACATTTTAGTGTTTGACTTCAGTTGCAGTAAATAAATGCTTTGCAATTCTAAAAGGCTAAAATTAAGGAAAAAATTAACAAAAATTGTAAGGTAAATCAAATGTGTTTAGACTGGTAGGACACAGTAACAGGAAATATCCTTGTCCCAAAATTCATGTGGAGATTGCAAGACTGTCACTTTGATTTTAGTCCTATTTTTGGGACAGTTAGCTTGTTTGAAATATTATGGCAGAGCTTTCATCAGAAGGCACAGCTGAGAACCTGCCAAAAAGGAACACGGGAGAATGACACTTCCTTATAAACTATACAAGTAAAATCAGACTAAAATGAATAGAGAACACGAAGGAAAAAAGCACATTGTGAGGATGTGGATATTTAGTTGACAATGCAACCAAAATCAGTATTAAAATTTATGTTTATAACACTTTTTGAAAGACAACTTACTGGACTGGACAAGTGTTGAAATGAAAGATTTTTTTATTCATAGTTTTTCATAGTATTTTGTAAATTACAGGCCTGAACCTGAAAACACTGTCAAGTATAGTACTTCTGCTGCTGGAAATCAATAGTGCCACTTCTGGTAGTAAGTAGTAAGCATAGTAGTAAGTGCTGACAAGACCAGGATGTAGGTTGTTGTTTTTTTTCATGAAAAAATTAACATTTTGATAAGCTTTATGGCCATTGCCAATTTCTAGTAGAATATTTATTTTCACAGGAGAGTCATCTGTCTTTTTGGACTAAACCATTTACAAAGTGATCAGTAACATTTGAGCATTTTCCATCCTTTGTTTTACAGACTGTATTTTGTATAAGAGAGACAGTTCTATTATTTATATTCCCCACCCAACGTTTTGATCCTTCCTCCACTCCATTACTTGGTTCTCAAAATATTTTATTTTGTGCACCACCAAGAAAGGATCTGAAGACTGCAAGTGCTCCACAAAACATTATATTATTTTGTGAAGTGACATCTTATACTAAGTTATGGATAATCCCAGTTGTTGTTTTGGTCTCACTGTCCTGTATTCCCTGTTAATTCCTAATGAAGTCTTAGGGCATCCATCAAGGAGGAATCCTCTGGACCCATACATGGTTGCAATAAGTAGAAGAGAGATGTCTGTTAGAATAAAAGCCCCATAATCCCATCTTCTTTTGAGACCTGTCACTGGAGTTTGGAAATCCCTTGCAAATTGGGTAGGCTAATCGGGGACAAAAACGAATTTTCCCTACACTCTCAAGGACGGTAGGGATGATGTGACTAAATTAATTTCATACAGTGATGAGAAGTCGAGTTAGGACACTGCAAATGTATCTTAGTGAACTATAGTTCATTCAAGATTAACTGTCGATTAGAGAAGTCATGTAAAGGTATGTAGATTCTGTAAATGACTATCTGAAACTATAGAGACAAGGTGAGTGAGGTAATATCTTTTATTGGACTAACTTCTGTTGGTGAGAGAAACCATAAAAAATATTACCTCACCCACCCTTCTCTCTCTTATTCTGGGACCGATGCAGCTACAACACTGCATATAACAATATTTGATACTATGTCCTAAGTAGGTGTAATTTGAAAATGTTTGTCTGCTGTGCTAAGGAAAAGAAGGGTCTGTCAGAGAAATTGGTCACCACCCTCTGATACTGGGATTGATCTACAATTTAACATAGAGTGGCCTGTGCAACAATGACAGCTGGCTGTAGTTCTAAGAGACTACACCAATTGAGCATAGCTGGAGCATAGCATATGCCAACTATACCTACTCCCAACCCTGACACACCACCTACATTTGGGTTGAATGTGAGTGGGTGGTGCAGGAGGCAGGTATATTGGCTTTGTATCAGCTGGGACTTCCCCCACACCAGAGAATTTCCTAGCTGGCCAGATTTAGAATTTTTATGCTCTTGGGTGGCACAAAGCCATTAGAATGCAACTGAGCATCTGGCCCAGAGAATACATGAACAATATGGAGCAGGAGAACATGGTGAAGTGGCTGGTTGGAGCAACAATAATCCAAGCTGCAGCAGCCGTAATAGTAGGTTCCAGTGGAAAACTATCATTTCTTCTGTTGGGAAAATGACTGACAATAAGATAATATACCTAATTTCCTGTGGAGTGACAGTTCCACCAAAAATATTGATCAGCTAGCAAGGAAATAATTCTAATAGGTTATATGATCCTCAGTTGACTTCCAGTTAATTCTGATGCTGTAGGAAATGTACTGTTTGCTAGAATTTTCACTGCAATTGTAGCTGGATTTTTGTGTGAACTTTGATACTTTTCTAATTAGTGTCCTGTTAATGCAATAGGAGTCATGTGTTAAAATGGAACACATGCATGTACCAGATGAAGAGCTAAAGAACAGCTTGTGTTAAATTGTGGACTTTTTAAAGAAATCAGCTGTATTAAAGACATTGTTTGGTTATCTTTTTTTTGCTGGTGAAATGTACATATTTAAACTAAGACATTCAGCTACAGTACTTCCGGAGTGTATGAAAGATTTGGTGGACTGTAGCTTCTAATGTTTCCTTTCAACTTTGCTGCAAGCATGGTTTTCGGTGAAATGTCATTAATGCTTGCTGTCATTTTTCTGGATTCTTCCCACACACAGTGTTAGAACACTTAATACATTTTACAAGATACACTTGGAGTGTGGTACTGATGGGAAATAATCCATAGTTAAAAATACATTCTTCAGGTGTGTTTTACAATTTCCACTCTTGTGTAGATGACACCCATGATATCTTTCAAGAAACAATGTGCTAATTTTTTCTTCTATTAACTTATTCTTGGCTTTGGGAATCCTAACCAGAATAGCAGGGGGATAAAGCTTGGGACTTTAGGATAAAGACTAGGTGGACAAAATATGTTATATGCATTTTACTTCATCAACCCAGTGTCCGTAGAATAATTTAATCAAATACAAAGGTGAGAGTGTTTGAATTTATATAGATTAGACAAAGAAATAGCCATACATCTCTACCCCAATATAAAGCTGTCCGTGGGAGCCAAAAAATCTTACCGCGTTATAGGTGAAACCACGTTATATCGAACTTGCTTTGATCCGCCGGAGTGTGCAGCTTCCCTCCCCCCCGGAGCACTGCTTTACCACGTTATATCCGAATTCGTGTTATATCGGGTCGCATTATATCGGGAAAAAGGTGTATTTCCTAGATCATTTAAATGTTATGACAGCATCAAAAAGCCTCCATTGGGATTGGAGCCCCATTATACTAGTGTTGTACAAATATAGAAAGAAAAATCCCTGCCCTGAAAGGCTTACTATCTGAAGACCCAGATGAAAGGTAGGGGATGAGTGTACCATGTGCAAGTAAATGAACCTGCTGAAGAGTTGGCATAAGTTTATATATATTGGGTTTTTTTTAAAAAATCAGGTAGAGGAAAGGAGGAAGGATATATGAAAAGTCTGGAAGGATAGAGGTAGCATGTTTAGAGCTAATGTTTTATCCTTAAAAGCAAATATGAAATTACCACAGAATGGAGGATTCAGGATTTGTTTTGTTTTTGGAGTAACGAGACAAAAGTTTACTTGAAACATCTTTAATTTTATCAAGTAACTTTGCACTTGTATAGCTGCTTGACAACCTTGGTATTTTAATTAAGTCCAGCGTATTCCAGCTATTAACTTGCAGCCTGCCTGTTTTGACATGTATGCACTAAGTATTTCTCCTTTAGCTGTTAGTATAGCTCTATAAATTTGCCATGATATTTGTGCAATTATGATTTTCTTTTCTTGTCAGGAAATACTGCATTACATGACTGTGCAGAATCTGGAAGCTTGGACATCATGAAGATGCTTCTTAAATACTGTGCAAAGATGGAAAAAGATGGCTATGGAATGACTCCCCTTCTGTCAGCCAGTGTGACAGGTCATACAAATATTGTGGACTTCCTGACACAGCATGTACAGACCAGTAAGGCAGAACGTATTAATGCTTTGGAGCTTTTAGGAGCAACATTTGTGGACAAAAAAAGAGATCTGCTTGGTGCTTTGAAATACTGGAAAAGAGCTATGGACATGAGGTACAGTGACAGGACTAATATCCTCAGCAAACCTGTGCCACAAACACTAATTATGGCTTATGACTATGCCAAGGAGGTGAATAGTGCAGAAGAGCTAGAAAATCTTATTGCAGACCCTGATGAGATGAGAATGCAAGCGCTGTTAATTAGAGAACGTATTCTTGGTCCTTCTCACCCAGATACATCTTATTATATTAGGTACAGAGGTGCCGTCTATGCAGACTCTGGAAACTTTAAACGATGCATCAACCTATGGAAATATGCTTTGGACATGCAGCAAAGCAATTTAGACCCCCTGAGCCCTATGACAGCCAGCAGTTTACTATCATTTGCTGAACTCTTTTCCTTCATGCTACAGGATAGGGCAAAAGGCCTCCTAGGCACCACTGTTACATTTGATGATCTTATGGGAATACTGTGCAAAAGTGTCCTCGAAATAGATCGGGCTATCAAACAAACTCAGTGTCCACCTGACCAAATACAGCTGAACAAAGCTCTTTCTATCATTTTGCATTTAATTTGCTTGCTGGAAAAAGTTCCTTGCAGTCCAGAACAAGACCATTTTAAAAAGCAGACTATTTACAGGTTTCTTAAACTACAGCCTAGAGGAAAGAATAACTTCAGCCCACTTCATCTTGCTGTTGATAAGAATACTACATGTGTGGGTCGTTACCCTGTTTGCAAATTCCCCTCTCTACAAGTTACTGCTATACTGGTGGAATGTGGTGCTGATGTAAATGTCAGAGACTCTGATGATAACAGCCCCTTGCACATTGCTGCACTGAACAACCATCCAGACATCATGAATCTTCTTATCAAGTCAGGTTCACACTTTGACACCACAAACTTGCATAAACAAACTGCTAGTGATTTGCTGGATGAGAAGGAAATGGCAAAAAATTTGATCCAGCCCATAAATCATACTACATTGCAGTGTCTTGCTGCTCGTGTTATAGTGAATCATAGCATATGTTATAAAGGGAACATCCCTGAAAAGCTAGAGAACTTTGTGTTGCTCCATAGATGATAGTGTGACAACTGTTGAAGCACGAGTTGGTGACATTAATTGTTGCTTTCTCAAGCACTGTTGTGATACACCAGCGTTCATTTAGCTTGACCTATCATGTTCTCATTGGCTAAAGCATCATTAGCATCAGATCTGTAGAATTGGCTACCCAGTATTTAATATGAATATGCCATATAATATATTTTGTGGATTATTTAGAAATGTAATGCCATATTTAGACTCTCTCTTAAAATTGTCTGCCAAAGGCTTGTCTACTCTGGTTTTATTTGCCTGTTGGGTGTTTGGGACTGAGATTAATATTTTTCACTGGTGTCTTTTTACTATTACTGGTATGTGGATTTTATACAGTTGGAAGGTCATCTTTTTTTGTTTTTGCTTGTGCATTTCTACTCAAATTCTGTTTTTTCTATGAACTCATTGCTAAACTGAACAAGTTGTATGGACTTGTTAACATTTGCAATTACCATAAGTGCTTTATCTTCTCTATGCACTGGCTTAAACATGACTGTTGTGTGTTAGCATATTTCTATGCAGCAGTTGGCCAACTTCAGCTCAAACAGCATTTTTTGCAGTTTTATGGAGCTTTTTCTGAGAACACTTCCTTCACAGCATGACAATTTTTGGAGCTATGTGTCAATTGTCCAAACTTTTTGGGTTGATTTTTATTCTAGCTGTATCTGAGGTTGCTTTCTCTTAGTCCTCTGGAAATATGTGCTAAATTCGGGAGAAAAATCTATTCTTGTTCTCTTGGTAACCCAGTTGAGATTTAAGTCTAAGTCATTCTGATGCATCATGCAGCAAAGGGAAGAGTCCTTATCATGTACATCTGACTTTTTCCCTCTGCACTAATGTCTTGTTTGTGCTGATAGTGTGACTAGATGTAGAGAGTTTGCTCAAATTTTTAACCTCAAACTTAATAATACACTTGAATAAGAAATAAATTGAATGTATGCAGTAGTCTGAAATTACAAATCAACTTCCTTACCTACAAAAGGAACTAAAGCATGTTGGTGGCATGATACCTGTCAAACCAGGTTTAGACATCTAGTATAATTATATTACCTTGGCAGAGAGCCACTCATTATAATGTATCTCAAATTCCATAGCAGTGTCCCTTTCCTTCATTTTAAATATACCCTTTTAGATAATTTGCATGCATTTTTCACCTCTCGTATTGTCAGCCATACTTAAACACCAGAGGTTGTGGTGTGTACATAGCTTCTATTGAAAGTTAACTATTTTTATAATATTTGCACAACAGCTTAGCTATCTTTCAACTTGAAGGGCTCTTTCAACTTGATTAGAAATCCACAAGTGAAGATTCTAAATGAGTAAGATTCAGGTAACTAATATAATTCAGCACTTTATTGTTGATTCAGAGTAAAACTTATTCTGGCACATTAGCCCTACAAACGTTTTAAAAATGTTCTCAAGAGAAAAAATTATTTTGGGTTGAGTAGAGTACAACTTACTGCCAGTTCAATGGTCAAGCACAGTGGATGTCATTTGACTTGGCATTTATTTTCAGTGATGGTCAGTAACCATACTTAATGGGTTTTTTTAACTCCAGAAATTCAGTGGGTTTATCTGGACTTTCATCAGATTATGAACTTGCAAAGATAATAGCAGAGGAATTTCAAAAGCCAAATTAATGACACTAAGGTGATTTGAGCTTAGTGGTTTGTTTTTTAATTTTATTTTAGAATATTTTTGTCTTTGATGTTTGTGAATTGGATTAGTGATGAGCACATCCTTGACAGTGTGTAAAAAGGCAGTGCTTTCCTTACCTTTTGGCTGTTTAGGTATTCTCTCTCTCCTTCTCTTAGCTTGTGATGGAAAGTGAAGCGGAGTGGCTGGGTCACCCTCAGATCTTGATGACTTTTAAACAGCCAGCAGTCATGTCAGAAGCACTGTCGTTTATACATATTTCAAAGTTTGAAAACTGCATAAAATATATTGAAACAACTTTCTATTTTTTGTTCCATGGCACATTTGCATTGTTTGTATGAAAAGCAAAGTATTAGTTAACTTAATTTCACAAAGATATGAGTAAATTTCTATTCAATTATCTGAATTTCTTTGATTTATAATTATTAAAACACATGCTACACCAATTGTTGATCGGAAGAACAAGTTTCATTACTTCAGTTTCTTATTTTCAACATTCTTCCTCTTTCGCTTACCATTCTGCAAGAAGATTTAATTAATAATCAACACCACACTGTAGGAATGAGCCACAATGTGGTTGGAGCTCCAACATGGATAATAGAAAAAGGGATTCTAGAACATTGTTTTTTGTATTCTAGAATCTGTGCTGCTCTTCATTGTTAATAGTGTAAATTTCTAACTTTAAATGGGATAATGGATAGCTATAGTTATTTGGTTGGACAACTTTCTCCAAGAGTTTTACCTTTTGAGAGTCCAGAACTGTGATTTAAAAACAACAGGAATACTGTGCTGCTATTATGGTGCTAGCAAAATTTCTGAATTAGAAAACATACCCATGAGTTTTCTGGCTACAAAAATCTTAGGGAACAGATCATTTTCTTTAAATAGTGATCCAATGAAGGTTGCCAAGTCTTAGTATGAAAGTTTATTCTACTGTTTGTTTTTAAAGAAATGTATGCAAATATCGTAAAGTATGGGAGCGACTAATCTCCTGTGCATGTTTTCCCTGTATCTCTACCAATGTACCTCTATCCTGTCCTACAGCACCTCTGTTATTCCGAATTTTGCGTTTGTAATGGGATGAGGCCACCTAATGAACTTTTATGATCTCCAGGTATTTAAACCTAGGCTTCCAGAGGGTAATGGCTGGCACATTTAAACCTGTCTGCCACTTAGCCGCCAACGTTTACATTACCTTTTTCTTAATTTTTATTTCACTTTCAAATTAAAGCAGTCCAGACTCCATTGGAAGGTAATAAGTTAGGGTGCTGTGGGCTTTCATTGAGTTTGTAAATAAGGCTCTAAATTTAGCTGTCCACCACCTGTAACAAGGTTCTGATTACTTTTGTTCCTGGTCGTGTTACTCCTTTAATACTGGGAATGGAGTTATCCTAGTGCAACACAGGGATGCAAAAATGCAGCAGCACTGTTAGCTGGAATTGAAGTATGCTAAGGAACTAAGGACCTTCAGAACATGATGCTGAATTATTTTCTCTTCTCCTTTCTGTCATTATTTACTTAACACCCTCTTTCCCCTTCCCTCTATTATCTTCCTGTTACATATTTCTGTAACTGGAATGTACTGTTCCAGAGGTACCAACCCAGTGCCACACGTGTGCCAAGGACATTATATACAACCTTATGCATTTTTGCGGTACAACACATTTTAAAGTATTTAAACAATCTACAGCATGTTCCTAAGAAGATGGGATACCGATACCCCTAAGAGGCCTGCTTGTTGAGAGATGTGAAGGTAGATTTTTTTTATACATATGTGCACGCACACACACACTCAAAGGATTTTTTTTTTTTTTGTTCTTCATCCCTCTTAGAGTTTTCATTGGAATACTTCAGCCAGGGAGATGAGAATTACAGTGGTATAAAATGAAACTTTCTTCTTCCCCCTCAGAGTGTTATGGTGAAATTTATATTTCTCTCTGTTTTTGCCATCCTAATAGCAAGTACTCTCCATATGTTTGTGCTATCTTTGGTGGTTCTGACTTCTGTAGTGCACAAAGTAAAGATACTTTTTAAAGTATGAGTGTGATGGTGTTTCAGCAAATGCAAAAGGTAGACTTTCTGACATTCAAATTATAATTTAAAGTCAATATAGTGTCTGTGAAAGGGGCTGAACTGAGAGCCATCTGTTATCTGCAAATTATGTACAGCAGTACTAATGTAAGTTTTCCCTCTCTGTTCCAGAACTAAACATCCTTCCTGAACTGGAGGACCAAAATTTTTGAGGGAAAGGGTGAATTTTTAGTCTTCATCAGTACTCAATCCTTAGTGTCTCAGATAGCATTTTAAATGGTTTTGTTGTGATACAGACATCCATTCTTTAGCCACTTAAATGAGACAGTCAACTCATTTCATGTAGGTCAGCAAATAGCTGACAGATGCTAAATTCCAACCTGGTTTTGAGATACCAATCGCAATCTCTCAGCCATCCAATCTCATTCCAAACCCATTCTGCAACAGCTCTTGATAGAAAATATAGGTGAATATTTCCTAGCTTCCAAAACAATCCTCTGTTGAGAACTGCTTTTAAAACTGGATGAACATAAATTATTTCCATTTTTTTGAAAAGCTATTTTAAAAAAAGAATGGAATGTCATGGCAGACTTTATACAAAAGGATAAAATCCTTATTAGGAAAAACATCTGTATCACTTCAGTTTTCATATCAATTGCAAAGTAATAGTGGCTGTGTATGTGACTACTTTATGCTGCAAATTTCATTAAATGATATTTCAAATGGAAGGAGTAGAACACTGACTAGATTATGTAATTTTGACAAGTGAATATGAAGACATTGTACTAATGTTGATCGTCTTTACTGTAAAGTCAATTGACAGGGCATGGTAATTGGTATTACAAAGTAACTTTGTGGGAAAAGCGTTGATGGCAGTACATTGTAAATGAGGGGAAGAGATCATCTGATCCAGTTTGAAGGACACTATTTTATACTGTACAAATCCCTTGGCTTCTGTAAATGTGAAAATAACTGTTGTATGGATTTGGACCCTTCGCTGATGGCAAAGTGGAAAAGTGATTGTTTACCTGATTTTTAACTCATTTTGTATAAACGTCCCATCATGTCACAGACTTCCTATGCAGGGCTAGCTCAGTGTATTGAAATACTGCAATTTCTTTTTTACGTGAAGTAATTAAGCTTTAATAGAAATGTAAAAAAGGAATAACAAACTTTTCTCTGCTCTTAATCTCCTTAGGATCCAAAATACAAATTAAATTAAAATTGTTTTGGAGAACAACTGACTGAGTCTATATCTGTTTTCTTTAAGGGCTACTATAGCCTTTCTAAGAAAGAGGGCATTTTCTATCAAGGTAAGAATGGCTAAACACTGATGCTACAGCTTTCGACATTTCCTCCTGCTGCTATTAATGACTGTATCCAAAAGGGAACTAAACATGACTGCTGTCTATAATGGAACTGTTTGAGTTCTGAATACAGGCGTCGGGGGAAAAATTAGCTTCAAGTTTCCAAAAGACATTGTAGCTGATGGAGAGAAAGTACACAAAATTAACAGACGGTTAATAGTGCCATTTTAAATGTTAAATATTACATCTGCTTATGTTTACAGCATAACCAAACCTAATTAGCAGTTTTCAGAACAAACTTTAGGAAAACTCATAATCTGTCACCAAAAAGTTAGCAAAAAAGTGTGGTCTCTGAAGCCTTTTTCCTGAAGTTTACAAAATAAAAAAATATAGGGAACTGGAGTGCTGGGAGTGGAGGTGTATAGAGCCATGAGATGATCTTCTCTCATGAAGCAGGCTGCAGAATGCAAAGCTTTGAACCATGTTTTCATTGTTTGTTTGTTTATTTGGGATCTCTGGAGTTAGATTATTTTTGTAGTGCCCCAAAGAGTAGTAGGCAGTGCTCAGTACTCTAGTTTGCTCATTTAGATTTAGACATGACACAATGAGTCAGAGTAGCAAGCAATAGGGAGAGGATGAGGTAGACCAAGGAGTTGTACAGTGAGAATATGCAGTTACTCAGATAAGCAGCTGCACATTTTAATGGTTCAAATATATGTTTCTCTCAAGTATATTTGACTCATTTTTTGGGGTAACAGAAGAAAGGAGTTTTGTCCTGTGTGAGGCAGAAGTTCAGTAGAGTGACCAGGGCGTTGATGAGGCAAGATGTGGCTTCTGTTCAGTCAAATCCCATATCTAACTTTGGAGGAAATAGCAATGGGAAAACGTGTGGACCAGCAGCATTATGGCTCTGCCTGATCTCACACCCTAAACATAAACTGGCATACAAACATAGATTTGTTTTTCTGTTGTTTGTGATTGGTTGTCATTTCTTACCATTGGCACAACACAGTCTGTTATGCTTTCAGCCATGTTCAATGCACCAACTATCTAACTCAAGTGCAACCTCCTCTGATGTTTTTCTAGTAGCATTTCCCCCCTTTTCCCCCCAATGGAAAATAAAACATGGTTTTAACATGAACCAAATAGGAAATATTGAAGCGGAAAATAAAACGTTTATATAAATTGTATTCTTAGCTAGATTGACGATTAGTCTTACGGTCTGATGGATAATGAGAGAACTTATGTTAGTAGAAAGAA